CACCTCTCAAAAAAACCCCCAAAAACAAAAACAAAAACAAAAAACAAAAAAAAAAAGAAAAAAAAAAGAAAAAATAAAAAAACCCCAACAACAACAACAAAAAAACCCACAACATTCTCCAAACCCTAGCAAACATGGTGTGGTGAAAATGATTCTCCTGCACACACAAATCTATGGGAAGAAACAGTGAGACAGAGGAACTTGGTGGGGTATCTCCCAGGACATTTATCATGAAGGACTGTTGGCTTAGGCATCTGCACATCTGTTAACTTTAGACTCTTCTGGTGGTGCCGGGATGAGCCTTTCCAAGATGTCCATATCAAAATGAAGATTTGCTGAATTTTGTTCTAAGTGCTAGAAGTCTGATGGTACCGGAGTTCTTTCACAACTGGAAATTGCACTTTGGGACACAGTGATGTGTTAAGTGGCACAGTGCAATCCACTGCAAAGGCCAGCACATGACAGACACTGTGTTAGGCAGAATAGGCATTTCAGAACTGACGGCTCACAAATAGGATATCTGTGTGTTTGAAAAAGCACAGAGCTTTGTGGATGCAGTAATTCACAAACTCACAGAATATGCTGTGTTGGAAGGGACCCATCAGGATCATTCTGTCCAGCTCCTGGCCCTGCACAGCACCATGCCCAAGAATCACACCATGTGCCCAGGAGTATTGTCCAAACCTTTCTGGAACTGTGAGGCTTGGTGCTGAGACCACTTCCCTGGGGAGCCTGTTCCAGTGCCCAAACACCTGGTGGGTGAAGAACCTTTTCTGATAATGCAACCTAAATCTCCCCTGACTCAGCTTCATGCCATTTCCTCATGTCCTGTCACTGTCACAAGAGTCAAAGATCAGTGCCTGCCCCTTCACTTGAGAGGATGCTGAAATCACAGTGAGGTCTCCCCTCAGTCTCCTGCAGGCTGAGCAGAACGAGTGACCTCAGCTGCTCCTCATACAGCTGCACCTCAAGGCCCTTCACCCTTTGAGCATTCTCCAAAAGCTCAAAGTCTTTTTTCCACTATGCCATCCAGAACTGCCCCCAGCACTGGAGGTGAGGCTGCCCCAGAGCAGAGCAGGACAATCCCCTCCCTTGCCTGGCTGTGAGGCTGTGCCTGATGCCCCCCCGGACACGGGGGGCCCTCCTGGGTGCCAGGGCACTGCTGACTCCTGTTCAACTGGTCACTGACCAGGACCCCCAGCTCCCATTCCATGGTCCCTTTCCATGGAACTACTCTTCAGCCTCTAATTCCCGTTTATACACACACACAGGGTTGCCATGTCCCAGGCACAAAATCTGGGACTTTCCCTCAATTAACTTCACACAGGTGATGCCTGACCAGCCCTCTCATTTGTCCAGGTTTCTCTGCAAGGCCTCCGAGGGAGTAGACAGCTTTCCCAAATTTGTGTTTGTTTGTTGTTGTTCATGTTTGTTTTAGTTTATTGTTTAATGGTTTGTTCTGTTGTTCCCCTATGTTCTCCCCAAAGTTGGTTCAACCCTGATTGGTACCCTCCCTCAAAGCTGTCCCTTATTCCTTCCTCCACCCTTTATTCCAGCTTCTTCCCTTGTCTGTCAAGGCAACCCAGTCCCTTTTTCCCAAACCTTCCCTGTCACTCTCCCCTTGGGACCAATCCCTGCTTGTGACACCCCTTTGGAATCCCCTAAACCTCGACACCCCATTGGCCCATGTGACCTACCCTCTCCTCCCATCAGTCCTGATTGGTCCCAAACCAGTGATGTAGTCTCCTCACTCCTCCCCTGAAAATTCCCCATTGGATGATTGTTTGTAACCACCCCCTAAGTCAAGGCTGTTTAAAAACCCGTGCAGAGGGGTGTTGGTTGGCTGTCTTACTTTGCTGCCTCTCATTGTGTGTATCTGCACTGGAGAGCAACTGGCTTTCAGGTTCAGCCGTGGGCAGAACTCCAGCCCCGGCTGTTCCCCACTCCTGGTGCAGTGCTAGAGTTCTAAGGGCTCCAGTGGGCTGCGTCAAGTGTTGTCGGCCAACTTACTTCCAGTCTTGTGTCCAGGTCATTTATGAAAACGTTGAAGAGCACAGGAGTAAGAATGGAGCCCTGTGGAACCCCACCAGTGATGGTCACCAGTCTGATGTCACCCCATTCACTGAAACCCTTTGCACCTGACCCATGAGCCAGCTGCTCACCCACCATGTGATGCGTTCATCCAGGTGTGTGCTGGATGTTTCATCCAGAAAGATACTGAGAGAGTATGGAAAGCTTTACTGAAATCCAAAAAGATTACATCACCTGGCTTCCCTTGGTAAGCTTGCTGTAGAAGCAAGCTTGGGTTCCCTTGGGTTATGTAGAAGGAAATCAGGTTGGACAAGCAGGACTTTCCCCTCATGAAGCTGTGCTGGCTGTGACTGATTGGGTTGTCTTCCAAGTGTTTCTCAGTACTCCCAGAATAATCTTTTCCACAATTTTACCTGGCAGTGAAGTGAGACTTCACTAGTTTTAGCAGTCTTCCTTCTTGTCTTTCTTGAAAACTGGGATAACGCTCACCAGCTTCCAATCAGCTGGGACCTCTCCAGATTCCCAAGACTGCTGAAAAACCATGGGGAGAGCCATGCTGATTGATGAATCCCATCAGGCCCAATAGATTTGCAGGGATCCAGATGGAGAAGATCCTGCACAAGTTCAGGGTCAAAAGGAAATGGATCTTCCTCACAGTCATGGTCCTCCAGCTCAGGGCACGGAGACCCCCTCGGGGGTCCATCATCTCTAGCCCATTATCTGTGTTACAGAGGCAAAGAATGCATTTAACACCTCTGCCTTGCTCCCTCTCTATTTCTGAGGTGACCTTGCTCATCCTGTAACAGGCTGATGTTACTTCAACACTGCCTTTCACAATTAATATACTTGAAAAGACTGTTTTTATTGTCCCCATTTCTGGCCAGCTTCCACTCCAGTTGAGCTTTGGCTGCATAAATTTTCTCACTACAGTGGGACACAGCAACTCTGCATTCTGTCCATGTTACCTGACCTTACTTCCATTGGGCATATACCTTACTTTTTGCCTTATTTCCAAGAGAAGATGCCTGCTCAGCCAAGATGGCCTCCTGCCTCATTGCCGGACTTCCAACATTTAGGAATTGCCTGTTACTGTGCCCCTAGGTGATGTTTAAAATGTGACCAGCATTGATGGACCCCAGCATCTGCCCATACATTTTCCCGGAGCATTTTACTTACTAATTCCCTGAGCAGTCTGCTCTCCTCATGTCCAGAACTGAGGTTTGCTGGGATTTTCTCTCACATCAACAAAGATTTTAACCACTTTGTGGTCACTGTGGCCAAGGTGGAGCCAGTCTCCACTCACGAGATCCCCTCTGTTGACAAACAGTAGGTCAAGGAGGGGATCTATCCCAGCTGGCTCCCTTCGCTTCTGTAAAGCTGTCATCAAGGTTTTTAGGAATGTTACAATCTGGGTTGTACCAGCTCTGTGATGGCTCCCAGTGAATATCTGGCAAGTTGAAGTCTCCTATGTGGACAAGGGCAGTTGATTTGGCAGTGTACCCTAGTTCCTCCAAGAATCATAGCTAAGGGAAGACCCTTATGCTGTTAAATAAATACATCTACACCTACCAAGGTTAGCAAAGACTGGAACTGGACAAAAGCTGCAGCTATGCCACTGCTCCTGCAAAGCCAAACCTGTCTATTGCACATGTAAGACTAAATAAGAAATGAGCAACTCCATCTTTTGTTAAGCATGCTGTCATTCCTGAATCAGTTGATAAGCACAGTGGGCATGCAAATCACAAATTTGCAAGGCGAATCAGTTGCAAGGAAATACCACATCTAAAAATCAGATGGTTGTGTGCACCACTGTGTGAGCTGTGGGAGAAAGAGGGTTACAGCAGACACAAGAGATAGAGAAATTAGAGCTATAAGCAGTAGTTGAAAGCAAGAAAGGAAAACTGAATCACAAAAGAGTACACAGGATGCAGTGTCTGGTGGCAGCGATATGATTTACTAGAAGTTAGCAACAGAAATTGTCTGCTAATCAATGAGAATGCCAGGAGACTCTCAAGGAGCAGTAACCATAGGACTGTGATCAAAGACAGACACAGCACAGGCTGAGGAAGAGACTGAGACACTGCAACAACACAAAGGTGGGGAGCAGAGACCAGATCAGGAGAGAGAAGCAGGGCAATTCTGCTCTTCAGGCTAGGACTCGTCATGGCCAAACTACTGAAGATGCTGGAAGCTGCTCTGCAATATACTCTCATGCAAAAAATGTACCTGAGCAGTATCTGAGCTCACAGACTGATACCTTTCTCTTTTCCAACATCTCCCAAATCCAAAAGGTATGTGTGTAAACCTGAATAAGGATTATAAAATGCATTAATTAATCTTCAATAGCTGCATCTATAGCAGCTTTAATAGCTGCTATAGATGCAGCTATTAAACGTCCTATGTAAATTAAAACCTCTTAAAAAACTACATCTGTCAACTTAGTTTACATTATCTTAAAACCAAAATCACACAACTCCTTTTTATTTTCTTTCTTTTTGGTTTTGTTTTACTACCAGTTTCTTGTGTGACCCTGGCTAATAAAACCATTGTAATTCAGGATGCATCACTTACTACTGTTAGGGCACTGCAAAAGTGTAACACATCTCTTCAGCTGATTCACAGTGCAAACAGTATGTCTAAGAAGCACGTTCATCACTGCAAAGTTTCTTCTGGCTAAGTAAATAAGATCTTTAGAACACAAGGTTTTGAGTATGTTGAATTCTCACACTCTCAGAAATACGGTACAGCATTTCAGATCAGTTTCTGAGGCTCTCTGAACGTAAGAATTTCTAAAGTTGTGTGCTACAGTTAAGGTGGCAAAACACCTACAACACAAGTGGCTGTTGCCGGTAGTCTTTCAATTTGCATGATGATGCACAGAAATATGGCCAATAATAAAAGAAAACCATACACCCCTCAGAGAAAGACAGGACAAAATTGTGTAAGTGTACATCATACATTTATTACCGAACAACTCTCTCAACTCCAAAATTGGGCACAGGGATTAAAAATAAAAATTCATTGCACTACCTAGTAAAGCATTACTAGTAACTCTCATAAAAAATGTACAAATTTTGTTAAAAATTTATCAAGCCTTCAAATGATTTGGTTACAGATATTTATAATACATTTAAAACTACATGTTAAATGATACAATAGCATATGATTTAAAGAAAACACTTAACAAAATATGATTCCAACAAAAACCATAAGATTTCATAAAAACTAGCAAGTCTGAAACACAAGTAGCAAAATGAGGTAACAATGTACCAAAGGAAAAAAACACAGCTTTTACAAAGGCCCAAAGATAACTCAGTTGAAACTGTTTTCTACAATTGAAATTAAAACAGTTGATATATCTCATCCCAAGTATTATGCATTGTATTAAGAGCTGTGAAGTCACATTCCAGAGCCTCTACAAAATGACATACAACACACGGCCCTACTTCTTCTAAAGAAAGCCAAAAAATGAGACACTGGAATTATCTGTAGGCCTTGATATCCATCAAAATGTCAAATAAAATTGACAGTTTATGCAAAAAAACACAGCAGTGCCAATATGATAAAGCAAACATATTGGAGGTTAGATATTCTTGTTTTTTTTGGAGAAAAAAGAGTCATTGGATGGCAGAAAGGCAATGAAGATAAAAAAAGTGTTGCTGAATTCAGGTGCTGTCAGGCACCACGGCAGCTGTGCATAATACATGGCAGTTAAGAGCTGAACATAAATCCCCTGCCCTTGACAGCCACCACAGAAGATGTGGTTGTAGCCTGTCTGAGCTGATTCAAAACATAAGCATGTGTGCTCTTTGTACACACTACCACAGGAAACAAGTCCCCATTCATCCAAGCAAACCAAAGAATCATTCCAGAAGAGATGAGCCATAAGAGTGCAACAATTAATTGCAGGATTTTACCAACTTAGACCCTCCATCTCCTAGATCTCCCACTGTCTCACTGGATTTTAGTGGGGGAAAAGGGACATTTCTCCAGTTCCAGAAAGAGAACTACTTTCCCTCAGCTTCAGAAGTATGTGTCTTGTCTACTTGTATCAAATTTAGAAAAAGTACCCTCTTTCCATGCTTTGAACTGAATACTAAACACAGAAATGTTAGTCATGTTTAAATCTGTACATGGATTATTTTTATTTTGCAGTTTTATAAAAGAGGCTAAGTTTTGTAAGACATACGTGGCATATGCTTTTTAAACATGATTTTATTTGTTAAAAAAATAAATTTTATTACATGTAATTTAACCTGCTAGGTGCTATTGTGAAAAGCCTGTTCTTTAACTCCACTGGAAGAGAGGAAAAAGAAATTCTAGTATTTTGAAGTGGAAGTAACAGCATTTTTACTTATTTAGTGTTCCTAAGTAAGGACATGTAGAGAAAGCGTCACTGTTTTTGAGAACTACCTGCATAACTAAACAGAAGGAAAAACATATGAAATGGGGCAAAATTGTGCTTTTATTTAGCTGCACCAAGAGCTGTGACTGGTCTGTAAAATCTTCAAAGAGGAAAACGAGCATGGAGAACATCTAACACTGTTTGAAATTTTAACTGATACTAAAGCATAGCAGCATACCAAAGCATCAGAAATTATAAAGAATAAACTTAAAGCTGAGACTGGCAGCAAGTTGTAGCAATACTAGTAATTGTGCCACTTGTGCTGCTGCTGCAACCGAAGAAATGAGACTGAATTTATGAGAAGAGTTTCTTTGCAAAAAGTGCATCCTTTTAACAACTGTGGTATATGCAGACCTAAATATTTTGCTAGAATACATCAGAGATGTTACCAGTGTGAATGTTATAAAAAAGCTAATTTTTTTTTCAATGGCCCAAAAAAATATTATTCAGAGCACTTGAATAGACATTATCCCCTCTTTTTTCACAGCACTGTTCTGGAAAGTATTCCATATTTCTCCTCTAGTGGAGCACTCTGGAAACTTGATTGCAAAAACCTAGGAGTTCCTTCTTCCTATTACACTCATCATGAAATAGGGAAGGGAAAGAAGCAGCATCAGGGCAACTGAATTCTGCAGATTTTGACCAAAACCTACCTCCTCTTGTGATAGGGTGAAAGAAATATGAAATTCTACTTCTCTGAGAAAACACTAAAAAATGTATTTTATTCATGAAGTCGCAGGAATAAAATTGTAACCTTTTACAAGTTATTTTAGTTACATACCAACTTCCTTGCAGATGACAAAGAATGAATGTCATTAAAGCCAATGTTTGTAAGCTAGAGAACGATGTCCTTAGCAAGTACAAGGGGCAAAAGTTAAGAGCTGTTCCTCAAGACCAGGACACCCTCAGTGTATTTCCTGCTTCCTTTCATGAAAGAAACACATAACTGGTAAACCCAGCTAGAAAAATTTAAAAGGAAAACAGAAAAACATTGATATATTTCAGCAATTGAAAACAATATTGCTAAATGCGATATTGTGACTCTACATTGATAAAATAACTTGTAAATCAGCCATTAAAAAATCCAGACTTTGTAACATATGATAAAACCCCCAAAGTTACTCATGTATGAAGAATCAATGCATTCTTTAGTGGTACACACTTAAAGCCTCCAGTGAAGGGGAAGCGTAACAGGTGTTTGAATAGTAGTAGGTAGAAAGGTCTTTACACCTGTAAGTACGTTGGGGACAAAATACTAAATGTCTGTAATTGCTGCACCCATCACATTCAGTGTGCAACTGCAAACACAAGGAAAGGAACCAGTGTACAGTACTAGTACTGTTTAAATAACACACAAGATTATACATTGCAGCATAATTATTACTACACACATACGTTCTCAGTACATGCTGGTATATAGGTTCTCAAACACGCAGGCACACCCAGTCACAAGCACACTTCACTCACCCTCTCTCAGGCAAACACAGTCACACTGTTCATCCCCACTCACAGTATCTGAAGGCTCTATATAAGGTAGATTGCTATATTGTTTGGAGCTACCACTTTTTTTTTCTTTTTCTTTTATATAAAAGCACATGCTAAAAGATCACATCCACAGTAATCTCGCAGCAATACTTGGAATGATCACACAAAACCCAGGGAATGTTAGTGCACACATAAAATTAAGCTAAAAAAAAATCTTTGGAGTTCCAATCACACTTGTTAGTATAACAATCCCGTAACTGTGAAGACTAGTTATAAGCTTTATAATTGATTAAGTCACACAGTGCAAGTAAGGTCCATTGACCCTTTTGTGTAAAGGGCAGGCTGGAAGCCACATGGGTAGGTAAGTTCAATAGAGAGTTCATATATACATGTGACCAGAAACACCGAAACCAGATTTGTGCTCTTAGATCGGTCATTCTGAATCACGATGCACTTCTGAAGCATCAGCTCTACAAATCGGGCAGGTACGATTTGCCTGTAAAACCAGAAAAGCAAAGGGTTAACCAGACTGACAAATACGTTGTTAAAGTAATGTGTACATGACACTGACATCTGAAGAGCAATTCAAGAGAAGACAGAATGTGCTTATGCCTTTTCTTAATTTGTTTTGTTATGTTTGAGTAGTGTGGTGAGTTTGCAAATTCAAAATTACATTTACAAAAAACAAAATGTGCCTTCTATCTTTAAGGCCAAAGCAACACAACAAATAAGGCTCTAGGTAAATGATGGTGGTTTCATTAATGTGGATTCACAATTATAGTATATTGCAGTCAGATGGATGCAACTAACAACCTGTACTGTATGCTGAAGTGAAAACCACCAAAACACCTTGGGCTCAAATAAACATTTTGTGTGAGGGTGTCATTTTGTTACAAACTGTACTAATCAGGAATGACACCGTACTTTGTTTATTCGGTTATCATCACAGAAAAACATTATACAGACTTGGTCAAAGCTGAAAGCAAACTGGGGAAAAAGGGAGGGGCTTTTAGTAATGGGGAAGAGGAATGAAAAAAATAAAGAAAAGGTGACCCGACCAAGCAGGTATTCAAGTAACACACAGCAGCGGGCCTAAATTTAGCTCTTCAGTAAAGCACACTGAAAATACGTCCTGTGACTCATTTACTTTTCTACTTCTGCTCTATTTATTTTTCTAGCTTCCTTAAAAAATAAGACAGATTAGAAGTAACATTCCTTAAGCTACTGGAAAAGTATTTCTGCCTTCTCATTCCCCTTTTCAAATACTGGCTAATTTCACTTTAGCAAATAATGAGAAGCCCCAGAAAAATGTATTAACATCTGTGAGTCAATACTTCCCTTGCAAAGGGATGAGTGAAAAGAGCTCTTCCCTGTCACAAATTCTCTACTTCATAGTTACCAAAACTGCAGGACCAACCACTGTACTCCAAAAGGCAACCAAAATTTTCAGTGAAAATACAAGTGAAGAGCATCAAGAAATGTGACTCTCTAGGTCAGAATTCAGAATTCTTTGTCAAATATTTTAAATCCAAACAATAACTAATCCAAAGAAAGGACTATGTTATTTATTACTGAAAAACTTTATTCAGTAATGCAAGTTAAAGTTACAGTATGTTTTTCCTGTCAGTTTCCCTGTCAACTGTTAGTACTGTCCATATTTTTTACTGCTTTGTAATTTTTGTAAATCATGGATTGGAGTACCAATTTAAACTTACATTTCTTGCTCTTTCACTAGCAATTTCAAAATATAATTCAAAATTTTCTTAGTCTGTAATTTCATTTCATTTAATTTCATGTGCCTGATTTTAAATACAGCCTGGCTAATACAATGTTTAAAATAAAAAGGCATGTTCTTAAACATTCAGTGGATTAATAAATCAAAAGCTATTCACTTAGGTTGGTACTGAAGCAGCAACCACTTGCACTACAGAACAGCATTCATTAGGAGTTATTTCCTGACAGGAATTGCAGACATAGACCTACTGTGCCAGGATAAAATGAAGACTCATGGACACCAAACCACTGCTTTTAAAGTAACTTTTCAAGATCCTACATGAACCCTGCTTTAAATTTAGTTGCATTCTTGTGTCTTTGATGAAATGAATTTCCCCCTCCTGGCATTTCATATGACTCTGACACCAAAAGAGGAGTGAGAGGGGACATAGTACTGTAATACTGACCTTCTAACTTGCCACTCTTCCAGGCATACTTAATTTTGTGCTGTAACTATAGAGTGCTGCCCAATGAACTGATTTTTTTTATATTTTATAGAAATTTATAATTAAAGTGAACTGCATTTACAATAATGAAACTATTGGGCTACTAGAATCCTCTAAAAACCATTGCACTACTTTGGTGTTAGTCTATCAGAAATAAGTTGAAGTATAGTCACACTTTGTCTTTTCTTATATATAATACAGCATTTCCTAGTATGTTAAATATAAAGGCAGGTAGTTCTTTTGACATTGTTCTCAACCCTCAAGGTGAAGATAGGTCATGGTGCCAAGTACTTTTCTGGAATTATGACTTTTATTTTATAGAAGAGCGCATTTCTCATGTGCTCATACTTGACTAGAGGATACAGGGTAAGAAGGAGCCAAATACTGTGAAACAAGGGAACTGGGAATACTACAAAAAGTGAAAGGATAATCCCTCTCTTTTAAGTTCCTTTGTTTCCTCCACTGTATTATATCTTCTCTCATTAAGTCTTTAAGTTTGCTTAAATAGGAAAGTATTTTAGCTGAAGTGGGCAACTTAATGCACTGTTATACATCACTTCCTCTTACTTGCTCACCACCTAAAAAGAGAGTACTGTCACATATTCCATGCATACAAACCACAAAACATTTTTAGATAGTTTTTTTACTTTGCCATCATCACCAACAGGCAACCCAAGAAGAATATTTTTAAAGTACTCAGGCTGAATCACTACCCTTTTACTTACATCTTTCACTTTCATCTTTCATACAGTCACATATGATGGGAACTTAAAAAAAATTATTTTGGCTCCATAGTTCTAGAAATAGTCTTAGATAACAAATACACTCATCAAAGAAATAAGATTAAATCAGTAAAAAATAGTGACTAACCGATAATATTTTTCTTTGTCTACTTCGTGGAGTAACATTACAAGTACTGAAAGCTACAATTTTACCTTTGCCTTGTAGAATTTATGAACATGATGTTGGCTGGATGATGTGAATTAGGTACATGTGGACATAATTATACAATCAAGATACATTAAAAAAAGCTCTCAAATTCATAAATGAATGGAGAGAAGCAAAACTAAAGCACAAAATATTTCCCAGTTATCACCTTCAGATGTTAGCTTCTAACTGTAACCAAGTTTAGACAGAGGCAGTAACTAAAATAGACTGGTGTTACAGGTAATTTGTTACAGCTTACAAAGCAGAATAGTCTTTATTTGCACATACCATCTTCGCACCACTGTAACTGAGCCCATATGGTGTAAAAGTAAAATACTTAGTGAACCTACACCAGAATGGTTTAATGTTGTCTATCTTACTTTGCACTCAGCTCTGGAATAACAATGTCAATTCAAGTTCTACTCAGTTTAACAGCACCCCTTCTAAATTTTGATTGCAGATCTTGCACCTCATTCTAAAGATAACCTTTACAAAATATTACAGCTGAAGATCTGTTAGGAAATGCAGATTCTAATATGGGACAGGAACATCAGCAAAACTATTTCATTACTAGAACAGTACACTACATTTATGAAAACACACTAAACTAAATTTGGTTTTTTTCACTTTGTAGTTCCAAATTCTATTGCCAGTTCTTGAAAGGACTAACTCTTAACTTTTAAAGTATTACACTGAGTCCAGAACAGATTACCTCAACATGCTCGTCTGACTCCTGAGTGGGATGTCAGTTAAGAAAAAAGCATTAAGACAAATACACATGATACTCTGCTGACATGTTCCTCTAACTTCCAGAAATCTGCAGATCAGGGATTCTATGAATCAGAGGTATATATTTTTTTTGCATTAATAGCCTGGAAAGAACTGTCTTTAAAAAAATCCACATAATAAACCTATAGCGTCCACTATCTCACAGGCAATGTCAAATGACATTTTTTTTTTCCCCCCTTCTTTCCATATAGTGGAGAGAGTACTATTCCTGGATACTCACTGTCCACACCACAACTGACTTAGAGAGTTTCATGCAATGAAAGATTGACACATGTAGTGTGGATGCTGGGGAAGGGGAGAGGAGAGGGAGAGGGAAAGGGAGAAGGAGAGGGAGAGGGACTCTGAAGAACGGCACTTTGATACATACAGACTCTACTCTTAATTATAATATTATGTGGTGTGTGTGCATGTGGCTTCTTAATGTGACAACAAAACAACCAGGAACCAGGTGTTTCGCTTACTCTTGCTGATTCTTGAGCATGTATGGGAATTCAGATACTTCTGGACCATTTCTACCAAAAATTATGAGCATTACTAACAGTCACACTGGCCCTAGATTTTGTAGGAGCTTTAGACTTAGACTACTATGGGAACTGTAGCCGAAGGGCAATTTGACATTCCATTTTTTCAAATCCTTCTCATTATTCTTGGTGTTGTCTTAGGAAAAAAAATACTGTCAATATTGACTTGATTTTTTTCATTCTCTGCACTGCATATTTTAGCACTTGCCTAAGATATGATGCCATAAAGGCAAGGAGGTTTTATTTCTTTTGCCAAAACAACAAACACCATCTGTAATTTTCTAGGGACTATATCAGCATAGGATCACTGCAGTTTCCAGTGTTCCACACAATAGAGCAAAATGGATTAAAGCTGAATAGAATAAAATAGTCAAAAAACTGAGGCAAGATGGGAATCAATACCTTGCTGGCAGGAAATCTGGCTTAATGAAGCCTGTAGAAATGTCTGCCATAATCTACTTGTATTTCTTGTTCTTCTCACCTTCTGCACAGCTGCTATTTAATCAGTGCCCTTACTGGGCAGTCCTGACTCTTGAGCCTTTCTTTTTTGATCAAATTCTCTTGGATAGGTACATTATTTTGTAAAACTGTGGTTTCTATTTGTATATATTACATTTCTGTGTATATGCATACACATAAACGTACATTTGTAACCCACTTTATCTGCCCCAGAAACCAAGATTAAGAGTAAAGTGGGGAAGAAAATGTGTTGGTATTCATTCTTGCTAGGCAAGCTGTGTAAAACAGTTGAAGCCACCATCATCATCAAACTCTGTATCGTATCTCCCACATTACTGACTTTTGAGTCTTCTTTAATGTTGTGTATTACTCAAATGCACAGTTACTGTTTTAAGCAAATGGAAAACACAGTAAGAGCTATCAATGAAAACAACTGTATTCATATTAATTTTCCATTGTGCCAAATATTATGAAGAAACAGTCTTCATCAATTATTAGAATAATATAATACCTAGGCAGTGATTCCATTCTGTTGGCTTTTTAAGTATCAGAAACACGAAACAAGATGAAATGAAGCAACAGCAAATATCCCCACCCTCTCCTACAAAACTACATGATCAATTTCATCTAAGATAGGATTACTTTTTCTTACCTTTAGCCATTTATCAACACACTTGGCGTGGAACTCATGGTTACAGGGTAAGACTCTAAGTAGCTGCCTTGACTCAAAATCACACATGCACACCACACATCTAAAAAAGACAATGAAGTTCAAATGTATCTGCTATGTAAGAACAACAAATATGCAATTCCATACAAAACCTTACAGGTATGATTGCAACGCAATAGGTATTTTACTCCTTCAGTAGCTACAGTGATCTACATCTTACAATGGAAACTGAGAATTGACTGTGGGGTTCTATGGGTGTTTTGCTGTTTTTTTTATTTACTGTGCTTTCACATCACATATCAAGTATTCTTGCTCTTCTGACCTAACTGTGACTGCAAGTTAAAGAAATGAAAATCAAGCCACCTAAATTATGGATCCTTGAAAGAGACCAATATACTTACAATGTCTGCTCTGACTGGTGATTGTTTGGATTGAACCTGTAGGATGGAAGCTGCTCAATATCTGCTTTTGTTAATCCCCGTGGTTTGGCTTCTCCCAGACGTTCTGCCAAATTCAGCAGTGCCTGCAAAACATGGAAATCAGACATACAAAAATTCACTGATCAAACAGGTTCTGGTTCCATTAGTGTTGGGCACTACCATCACATCTCACTTCACCAGCTGCTAGCACAAAACACCCTTCTATCAAGAAATGTTTAGAACCTTAGTTCTCCCACACAATACAAGCTCCTCAGAAAGTCTTTCAGAGCTTAACCATCTTTGTAATTATGCAATATGTTTTCTCTGGGATTTCCAAACACACTTCCCAAGGACCCAATTTCCAATTAGTCCTGGGACTGCCTGCACAGCTCAATAAATAATTAGCTTCTGAGTGATCACCTCACCCTGCTAAGAAATTAACAGTGCTGGTAACCAGAAAGAAATTGTCAACTAATTTCCTTCGTAAGAATATGTGAATTTGGTCTTGTGAGAGAAATCATAAATTTAATGGGACAGTTTATGATTCCCATTCCATGTCTTGGGCTAGTTGAATTAAAATATGGAGGTTTTATCCTCAATCTGGAAAACAAATACATATCATCAAACTTTAAACGCTTTTTTGGCTGCTAATTTTTATGTTCCTTTTCTGTAAGCCAACAATTGCAACTAAAATCCTGTCATGTATATAATTTGCAATCTGTCATGTATTCAACTCACACCCTTCATGAGGGGCCTAGGAAACAACATCAGTGTGACAGACAATCAGTGCAGAGAAAAGATACTATGAAAGCTGCAACTGGTATTGATTTCTTACACTACCGAACCCAGGGCCCAAATTCTCAGAAGACAATGCTGCTTCTGAACCACCACAGAAATTATTACAGAAGCATTCATTGTTAAACTGAAGGTGTGCAAGTACAAAGGCATCTTAATGAGAGCACAGGCAAAGAGATGCAAAAGTCAGGGTTAATGATGACTAGCTCAAGAGAAATCAAATGGAATCCATTAGCTTCAGATCCAGCAAAGAAACAACAGATGGAACAGCCCCATAATTATCTAGGATATTTAAGAGGGTTCTGCATCTCTAGATGTGAATTACCATCCCCTCCAGAGGAAAAGAAGAAAAGGCAGTAAGGCAATTTTATAAACATTATGTTTAAATTAATTAATCATATGATATTAAAACTCTTCTGAAAGTTACACTCATAAAACCAATAACTTACCCTTTTCTTTTCAAAGTGCTTCATTTCTGTTTGGTATTTAAAATCAATTAAATTTTGAAAGGAGAAGAGTAGCATGGAGAACATAAAAGCTGAACAATTTAATGATTACTAGCCTGGAAAGGTGAATTCTGAGAAAGAGCAATAGACAAGAAAGAAAGCTAAACACTTCTAATATTCAATATTACAAAAAAAAAATCTGAAAGGACTAATTTTGGATTCTGTCTTCACAATCACTACATTTATTTGAAAAGCAAAACCAGGATTAAAAGTAAAATAAAATAAAATTTTATCTATTGCTTTAACTAACATCTGTTCTTTAAAGGTAGTTGTAGTTCACACACCAACCTCATAGTTTTCTACCTCTCCATCTTCCACATCCAACTCAAAGCTGAAAGCTGGTCCAACTGCCGGTGGCACTGGGAGCATTGATCTACCACAAGAGCAAACAAGGATAAGGTTCAGCATCTTGCTGAAGGAAAACACAGAAACATCTGGCAGAGGTAAAGTAACCTTTCTGATGCTTCTCAAATCAACATGTTCTTAGAACTGGCAAAAATGTTATGTTTGAAGTCATGAACAGACATTTGAAGTGAAAGAGTCACAGGAAAATGTTTTTTCTGCTAACTTTCTGATATTGGAAGTGCTGACTTTTTAACTGCATGCACGCTTCACTTGATACTTTTAATCAAGCTCAGCTTTATTTAAAAAACTAACCTCTTATTTATCACAGACTATGGAGATGTAAAACTGACAAAAAATTGACATTCTGGTTTTACGTATGTTTTATTTCCTTAAGTGGATAAAAGAACATCAAAGAGGAATACTAAGTCCATTTACATCTCCAACATAAAAGTCTTGCAACTTCTGCAAGCCTAAAACACACAGTGAAGATAAATAGGATTTGCTACTGGACAAACCCATCCTGAAGGCAAGCACAAATTCACTTTCTTGTGTACTGTGATGTTGGTAAAAGCAGAATCCCTTCAAACTGAGAGATCAGAGAGATGTTTTTCTAGTTGTGGGTTCAGTAAGTCTTTTTAATCCCCCAAGGTAGTGCAATGGGTCAAAACTCATCCACAGACATGGAAATCACAAATTCAAAGCACTAATATAGTAGAATCAGTAATTACTGTGCCACATCACGTCCTCAATGAACAGGCAAGAAGCTATGACACTACTCTCAGACTGCAAGATGAAAACTTGAACAACTTTGCTGAATCAGATTTCTGGTGCCATTTTCATGCCACGTCTGACGTTGCACAGAGACAATCTACAGATCTGGTGTCAGTGCTTGATTATTTCCTTGTCAATGTCACCTTTGCCAGCAGAAACTTAATTTTTGTTTTCCAAACATTTACTTCTTCTAATACAGAACTAATACAGAAGATCTAATACAGAAGACTAATACATTTTATGTCATAGACCCAAACTCTCTTCCAGAGTCTACCATAACCCACTACAGGTAATTCCTAAATGTTAATTGTCCCACATTTTTTCCAGAAACAGCTAATCAGAGGCAGAACAGAAATATGACAGCTGTGACAGAGTAGCACTTCAGCCAATAAAGAGTAACACATCACAGAAGTCCCCCACTCTTGTGGTTTTAAAATTAAGACCAAACCAAATTAATTTATTCTGTAAGGAAGACTGCTACAACTTGAACAGTGTAACTATGCCTCTGCAGGAGTATCATAGAGCTATGATTTAAAATCTGTTGAAGATTTTACCAAGAGTTCAGAAACAAGAGGCTACTGTGCCTCAAAATACTTACAGAACTACACTGGACAAAAACTGTTCACTTATATTTTTTCTTGCTCAGTGGTGTTGGTTATTAAAAGTAGGCTGAAAAGTTTACACAGAAATGGAAGTTTTCCTCCGAGACACGTGAAATATGCCTGGTCTCTGGTAACCAGAGTCCAACCATAAAAAGTGCCAAGATGCTTTCTGAATTCTTAATAGCCTACATGGAAGCAAATATACTTTTCACTTACAGCACATAAGGTAATAGGCTGGGATGGTAAGGATGTGGTGGTATTGGCTGCTGTGATCGGTATCTGCTGCGCCCTGTGAGTCTTCGAGGCATAAAAGGTGGGTAAGGCTGCAAGAAAGAAGAGAATAAGCTTCAACTGAAACTTGCAGAACTGGAACTTGTGTCCAGTTCTGGGCTCCCCAGCACAAGACAGACAGGGACATACTGGAGAGAGTTCAACAAAGTGTCACTAAGACGGGACTGGAGCATCTCATGTGTGCAAAAGGGCTGAAACAGCTGAGCCTGTTCAGCCTGGAGAAGAGACAGCTCGGAGGATCCTATCAATGTTTATAAATACCTGAAGGGAGGGTGCAAAGAAGACAGAGCCAGGCTCTTTTCAGTGGTGCCCAGTGGCAGGACCAGAGACAGTGGGCACAGACTGAAACACAGGAGGCTCTGTCTGAACATCAGGAAATACTTCTTTACTCTGAGGGTGACTGAGCACTGGCACAAGTTGCCTAGGGAGATGGTAGAGTCTCCCTTCCTGGAGATACTCAAAAGCTGGCTGGACATAGTCCTCAACACCCAGGCTTGCTTTGTTTTCCCTTTCTGGAAATGCATCTTTGGCTTATGAAACAGGTCTGCAGTTTTCTTGAGTGGTGTTTCAGGTTTCAGGTGGTCCTGCTTGACCAATGACCTCCCTTCCAACCTTATCCAGTCTGTGAGCCCCTGATTCGACATTTTCTGTTCTTAATCAATAATGAAATAATGAAATCCACTTTGAATAAAGCATTGTTTAAAAATTTCAGCCTCTGCTAAAATCCAACAGAATCTCAGCCTCAATTTGAAATGACTATTCCCATCTACAACATACAATCATACCAATTCATGTGAAAAAGTGGTAATATACAACAGAAATCCCTACAAGTTCCTGTGTGTTTAGTCTACAGTCAGTATAGTTTGGGAAACAGGACATGAATTGCTGAACCTCTTCTAAATATAAAAGGCTCAGGCACTATTATGCAGGCCTGTGCATAAGCAGTTTAGAGTAAAGAAACCCTTAAAAACTCTTTTAAAATGAGAATTCTTTTAAAAAATCCCTTTAAAAAACCTCTAACTTTTAAGCAGCGGTATATACTTATATTTAGGCTTAAAGCCTCTCAGGTGTACGTAGAAGGTTTAATTAGTACAATTTCTGCAGCTGGACCACACATAGAGAGACACTCAAGCCCAAGTTTCAATGCATTAATTCCATGAATAAATCAGGGCACTTTTTGTCATCTTTTACTAAAATGTTTTTGTATTTTCTACAACGAATGTTTTTGAATTGTCTACAAAATTTATGTATCCCTATTAAATTCATATTTGAGGGCCTTAAGACTTATTTTTTTGAAACAAAGAACACTCTAAGCCTTTGCTAACACGTTTTTCTTCTTACATGTTTGAAATTTGAAAGCACAAGAGCCCAACACTCTCAATGACTAACCTAAAATCCCCTAATTTTACAACAGAAACATTATAATTAGGTAGCCACGGTCATACATGAAATTAATTAATGTTCAAATTCATATGAATATGAACATATTAACATAAGAACAATACAAAAGAGCCAGGTTCCTTTTGGTTGAAGTCTCAAACTAGACATATGAAATATTAATTTTACTGCTTTGTGAATTCTACAATCCAAAAACACTATTAGAAAGTGTTGTGTTCACCGAATGTAAAAGAATCAGAAATGCATTTATTCCATTCCAATGTTAATGCAAATAAAGCTTTATAAAGTTTTAGTATTACTTCATAAAAGGGCACATGGCTACTGGTAATGTATCTCTATTCTACTCCTTAGCAATAAACAACACAGAGCTGAAGCATCAGAGTGGACAAATGCTACAATCTGCACAAAATAGTTACTATGTTCCCTATCTACTTTAACAACCAAACTTAAAATTGAAGAAGTCTGACTCCAAGCAAAACATGTATGATTAGATTACTTCATCTAACAAGCATACTGAATAAAATACAAGCAGTTTATGGAAGATTTCAAGTGTCCTGGACTCCAGAGTGTCTCATAGTGCCTGAAAATTTCACTGAAAGTACACCTTTAGATTAGGAGTAAGTTGATCACTTTTTCAAATGGTGGACATTACTTGAATCTTTATGAAAACTGCAAGCAACCATTTGACTAGGTTCTGTGATTTCAATAAGAATAATTGAAGACAAGGTATCTGTATATTCTGCAGTGCAGGGCATAACATTTAATTATTATTTAAAATTTAAATAACAATATGCCCCTAAAACCACTGACAACTTGATGTACATGTCAAACAATAAAAATTTTGGCACCTAAACTTGGGATCTAGCTATTTCTCCCAGGCACACAGGCAGGAGAGGGGGTATTCTGTTTTTTTTTAAAAAGTGACCAGCACAAAACAACCACAACAAACAACAACAAAACCCTGACACATCTCAGGACTAGTATAATTGCAGATTGAAGTACAAGACAAAGATCCCAGAAGTAGCACCACTGGACACACCACAGAAGCACATGCTTCAACAAAATTCAAGACAGACTTTATGCTGCACCACTTTTAATTTTATTTTGTGCTGCTGTAGTTGAACTGCCTATTTATCCCCCAAAAGCTGAGTTAAATCCAGCTTGATAACATGGCTATCTTTATAATATATGGTGTAGTCTAAATTATGGAAGCACTCTACAACTGCTTAAAGAGAACTGTTTTTAAAGCATTCTGGCTTTCCTGAGCTGTGGAAACTCAACATACGATGAAGAATTAAGTAAAAGTGACAACAGTTCTTCTGAACTGTACGAAGCGATACCTGCAATAGAAGTCCCGGACTATGTGACAACACAGAAAGTTTTCTAAGTAAATGCTGATGCACTCTGCAGTTAATGTTACTGGAAGTAATTTGTTGGTGTCATTAAATTACCCTTAACTTGATTAACTTAGGCTTAAAGAAAATACCACAATATGCAGCTATTGCAATAATGGAATATGATTGCAAAAGTGTGACTTTTCAACAAAATATACTACAAAATAAAGATCAAGAATGTCAATGCAGTGTGAAAGAGAATGTAGCATAGAAAACAATACTTACTACTCCAAATGACACCTCCTGGTGTAATGGATCATGGGCTAAGAATTGAAGAGGAGCTGAGGGAGGCAACGGTGGTGGATGGGCTGAGGGAGGGTATGTAAAACCTCCTACAGGAAGATGATCTCCAAGCAATTCTACATCATTTTCTATCCTTTGAAGTGGCTACAAAAAAACCAGAGATAGTCTTTGTTGCAATAAGAGATGAATTTTTTTCCCCGATAAAGCACTGCAGTCCCAGCTGTATATTCTGTGCTGCTGTGATCAACTTTATAGCAACTCTGTGAGCAATTCCTAGATCATTAACACTACCCAACAAAGCAAAGACAACACTACACATTTCATATAAATTCACCTTTTCCAGCTAGCCATGCTTATAGACCAGGAATTTATGCGATCTAGCAAATATAGAAGTGGCTGTAATTTCCTGTATCTTGCATTTTTCAGGACAAATATTTGTTCTCCTTCTTGCCAGGCTGCTCTCACTGTATAACTATGCGAGAGAAAAAAATAAACAACCATAGACAAGAACTGAAATTGTGCCAGAAAAATTGAAAAGTGGAGGGGAATCATGGTGGTTCCAGTAGATGAAACTGATAATGATATCCAGAAAGCAAGCAGATGCTTTCCTAGGAGGGTCATGCAAGCAGTCCTAACAAGCAGTTCTGAGGTTTCAGAAGCATGGGATACCAGACTGGTTTTGTTGCTAGTCAAATCTATTACATTAGTCAGGTTCAAAAGTGCCCAAGAAACAAGCAGGAATTCTCACTGTTTCACAAATACACCATTCTGTTATTGACACTGCATTCCACCATTTCAAGATTCAGCTAAGAAAGCCAACTTGAAGACTCAAAAGAATATACTACTTTCCTGTTATATAGAACAAGACATTCTTACACCACCGTAATGCTAGCTTTTTGGCAGAGCTGAAAGGAGACAGGGCAGCCTAGTTAAAAACCTAAGTAAGCAACTCAAGGTAAAACTTGAGTCCATGAGTTTTCTAAAGCTAAGTCTCACAAAGATTTCTACCACAAAAAAACACTTTGTCAGGATGATGGAAACTGTTCTCCCATCACTGTAATGAAGTGATTACAATCCTATCCACACCAGAGACATGGCATGAAGGAGTCTTAACAGTGTTTGCAGTAATAAAGCTATATCCTATTTCTGTGTTACTGAAATATCTGCATCTTCTACTCACTGGGACAAACAAATGGGTAAGTACTCAGATAACCACACAGAAAGAATGGTAGGCCAGAACTGTAAACCTGATTTCCCCCTAAATCCAAAACAGGGTCACATTTTCCCATGTTTGCATAGTCCATTTCACTAAGCTAAATCTGCTTAAGCAATATCAGTAACTTTCATAAGTGTAAAGAAAATGTCCTAGGAAAAGGACTGGTTATTTAAAAATTAATCAAGAAGTAGTACAGAAGAAATATGTAATAAAAGCAACACTCTTGTGCTTTTTTCTCTGTGATACCTCCTATGCTTACACAACCTCTTCTGGATTCTATTCTGCTTTGTGGGAAAGAAATACCTGATGGTGAAGGAAATACCCATCTTTCTGAGAGAAGTAAAAGCGTATGGACAAACATCACAGGCAATGACAAAATCTGAAGTGAAACACTGAACCTCAGAAGTATTTTTTCATCTTCATACCAAGCGGTTACAATTTGAAAGAAAATCCTTGTTTCCTCTATCAGGTATCAGTACTATGTGCCCATCCAGCCCACCAGTTCTACTGAGATGGGGTAAGAAGCATTACTTACCGACCGTGACTGTTGTGCTTGGAAAGGAACAAATTGTCCTGGAGGAGGTAAGTGAGGAGGGTGGTGTGTAGAGATATGAGGAGGATGCAAAAGGAATGGGTCACTAGAGATGAGGGGTGGAAATGCTGCATATGGTACAGGTAGATGCTGAACTGAGCACGCCTGAAGCATCTGAAATAAAATGAAAACAATACATTTTTGTAGCACAAACATTCCCTACAAAATGTTCAATATTCTATGTATTTATTATGGAGAGATATAATTGTAGCAGAACAGTTCTTTAGCCTTGTTGTAAAAGCCTCTAAAATACACATAAATAATAACTCATTCAAATATCCAAAGAACAGTGATTACTACAGAACACACTCTAGGAACTAGCATAGTGTGACATCTGCTAGGGGCTCATGAGGTCACCAGGAGACCGGATTTTCAATACTCCAGGACTAGACATGCTCCTAAGTGATGAACAGATACATATTCTAGTTAATTTTTTTTTCCCACACATTATCATCAAAACAATAGGCCAAAGCAATCATCTTGCAAGCACTATAAGCTCTAGATCCAGGTGAGAGACTCAGCTGTCAGACTGTGCCTAAAGACCTCTGTTACCTCATGTACTATGAATAATTTATACAGCCTGCTTTGTTTTGTACTTTTGGGTGAGTCCTATGCTCTAAAAGCAGCTCCCTAGTGACAGATACTACAGGAAATAGCTCTTTTTCTTTCCTCCTTTAAATACCTGACAAAAAAGCAACTTTTGGCACTAATGTTCGAACAATAAAATGATAAAAGCACTTCAGGGGAAAAGGAATGTACTTTCTGGCATTGCTCAGTTTTACTTCCACCTTTATATAAGAAGGAGTAAGGAATCTACAATCTCTTTTTTGTTGCGCTTTGATCTGTTATGAGAATGTCAGGCATTTCTTTTACACTTTTAACAACTACAAGAGCATTTAATTAAGATATTCATTATCAAATACTGAAAAGAAAGATTACCCTGTTATGATCTCTTTTTTTTTTCTTATTAGTAATGTCACTCAGCATGCATTTACATATTGACTGACTGTTCTTTTCCCTCAGTTACTACATCATTTTTCTAAAAAACAAATATCATAAACAAGTGTTACCATGGTTATAATACATTTTTATTGTATTTTACTATATTGAAAACTCTGAAATAGCTGAAGATAAATTTGCAGAGTGTTCTTCAAAACATGAGATTCTTTGGGAAACACTGAAATAGGGTTTTACGTTTTATGGTAAAGATTACCATAGCTCCTATATATGTTTGGAAATGTTTGATTTGTGCTATGCCCATGTCACTTTTTAAAGTTAGAGCAAATGATGCACCACTAACTTACAAGCAGAAAGAAATGAAAATTATCTGTTTATTCATTCAAGCTTTAAAAAAAGTTCTTCAGTTTGGAAATATCATACCTGGACTGGAAGGCACCTTAAAGATCATTTTGTTCCAAACCCCCTGCATGGGCAGGGACACCTTTCACTAGACCAGGTTGCTCAGAGCTTCATCCAACCTAGCCTTGAACACTTTCACAGAAGTGGCATCCATAACTTTTCTGGGCAACCTGTTCCATCCCCACAGTAAAGAATTTTTTTTCCTAATATCTAATTTAAACCTACCCTTTTTCAGTTAAAGCTATTCCCCATCTTGTTCTCTCATTACATGCCCTTGTAAAAAGTCTAGGTCCACCATTCTTGTAGGCTCCCTTCCAAGTACTGGAATTAGGGTACCCAAAAGCCTTCTCTTTTCCAGGCTGAACAATCCAAACTCTCTCAGCCTTTCATCACAGGAGAGGTGCTCCATCCTTTTGATCATGTTGATGTCCTTCCTCTGGACTCACTCCAGCAGGTCCATGTCCTCTCTGTGCTGGGCCCCCAGAACTGGGTGCAGGGTTCCAGGTGGGCTCTCAGCAGAGCAGAGCAGAGGGGCAGAATCCCCTCCCTCCCCTGCTGCCCACGCTGCTTTGGATGCAGCCCAGGACACGTTTGGCTTTCTGGGCTGGCAGTGCCCATGGCTGGGTCATGTCCAGCCTCTCAGCCACCGGCACCCCAAGTCCTTCTCTCAGGGCTGCTCTCCATCTGTTCACTCCCAGCCTGTGCTGGTACAACCCAGGTGCAGCACTTTGTGTTCGGTCTTGTTACAATTAATGAGATTTCACATGGGCCAATTTCTCAAGCTTGTCTATGTCCCTCTGGATGCCATCTTGGTCTTTGAAGAACTTTTAAAACTGATGAAGGTATTTAATAAATGGCATTTGTTTACTTCATAGTTATGCACGCAGTGAGATAGAGAAGTATTGTGAAAATAACAAAAGGAAACTGCGAAGTTCATAGATGAAGCTGGTGAGCAAGGTGACATGCTGGAAGGCACGTGCTACCTTGAAATATATTTTTATAGGCTGGAGAAATTGGCCAACAGGAACTGTTTAAAGTTCAAAGTCAAATGTGAAGTATGGCACTGGAAAAGAGTAACTCCATGGATCAGGACACTCTGAAACTAATTGGTTGCAGTCAGATTTGCAGAAAAAAAAGTGAGGTGGACATGTACATAACACCCATAGTGTACTCAGCGAAAAAGGCCTACGGCATGCATGGCTAAGAAAGCAACTGGTGAAACTAGTGAAGTGATTCTGCCCCTCCATTCAGACACTGTGACATTTCTCAATTCCTGGGCCCAGTTTTGGGCGTGCCAGTGCCAAACACACACAATGACAACATGGTGACCAGGTCTTTGTGAAAGTCATGATGACCAGTGACTTGGAGAGAACTGCATAAAAGAGGTGGCAGAACTAGACTTGTTATTCTTTAAAAAGAGAAAAGTAAGCAAATACCTTACTCCTGTGTCTAACAATTTCCTGAGAGTGGACAGGAAGAATCCAAGACCTCCTCAAGAAGCAAAGTGAAAGAGCACCAAGACCAATGGGACCAAGATGCAACAAAGAAAACTCAACTAGACATACAGAGGAAATTCTTCATCACAAGGACAGTCAAACGCTGAAGCAGAAACTTAAGAGGCATTATGAAATCTCCATATTTGGAAGTTGGTACTACAGCAGGTGACCACCAGACAACCTCCAGAGTCCCCTCTTAACTTAAAACTATTCCTCAATTTTATGGTTTAACAGAAGAAAGCATAAAGTCTGCCTGCTGATTCTACAGAAATCTAACTGTTTATATTCATTGGTACTGGATCTATTCTCCCAACACACTTGATTAAGTGCTGTACATTCAAAACAAAAACCAGACCTTTACTCCTATATGTATTAAAAGGACAACTGCATTGTTGAATTACAAAGCCTTTTATGAATTGCATAGATAATATACCTATTCAAAGCATAGGGTAAAATTACTAGTACGCGTTGGATGGATATACCTAAGCCCCAATACAGTTTCAGATTTTTCTCTGTTGTTTCTTAGGACATGTTGCTTTTTTCCTTGCTGAATTTACTATCTAAGTATTGTTCCAGTCTCTGGGTAGTTATTCTGAGATTGCTTTGTTCCACTACCACCAGCACTAAACAGAAGAAAAAGCCTGTCTCTCATGCTGCCTCAGGGATACACACCAGATTAGGTAACAGATTTTCCCCAGTTTGACAGATAAGGAACTGATTCTCACAAATACTCCGGACTTGCCAGCACCATGCTGCAGACCTTGTTGCCTCTCATGGGGATAAATGATACCTGGGCATGATAAACGTAAATTACCCTTACTCTTCAATGGGCAGCCTAAAGAAATAGATGGGTCATATCAAGGGTTTTGTTTCAGTGCCACACAGGCTTATTCATGTCACAGAAAGCACCAGAGGAAAAGCAAAGTTACACACTCCTGGCAGAGACCAAGACTATACCAACATCAAAAGTGCTCACTAGACGCTGCATATAGTACTGTGTAAGACCTTTTAGATTTGTACTAGAAAAACAGATTGAAGCTGGTGTAGTTAGAGAGACCTACTTACTGGGGGAGGCACACTGCAAACTGGAAGGTGCTGGCCACTGAAAACCACTGAGCACCCTGGGACCTGCTGAGTGCTGCAGGCTGGAATGTGCTGGCCTGTGCAAAGTGGTATCCCATGTGGAGCTACAGTTGTTACTGTGTATGAAACAGGAACTGCACCCTGATGGATCTGCAGCAAAAGGAAAACAAAATGTATTTAATAACTTACAGTAAAGTCTTAACACTGTTGTACAGCACAGTAAAATAACAAGCTTTTATTTACAGATCAGAAAAATAATAATTCACAAAGAAAGTGTAACAGGAGATGTATGGTTATAATTTCTGTTCATTAAAATGTTTTAATCAATGGAATGTTATTTATTGATCAGAATTTCTGGGCAAGAGGGATCTCTCAGCTGAACATGTTAAAACTTCAGTGGCACCTTAGACACTCAGAAGCATGTCAGACTATTAAGTCTGCCTACTCTTCCTTCTCTCCCCCAGGTTAATTATGAAATCAACCTTCTTATGAAATAAGAAGGTGGTAACTCCCATATAAAAATCTAATCTAAAAGCAGCTCAAGACTTTTTTCAGTACTGAAGGGATTGATTCAGTATTAATTCAAGAGACTTGTACCTTTAAACAACAAAACAATTTTCCAGATTTTCTTTCTTCCTAAGAGACCACTCTGTTGATTCACTTTCAGGCCAGCATTTAAGCTAAACTCCTAACTTAAGTAACAGAACAGCTAACTAGAAAGCTCAAAAAGGGAAAGTTAACATGACTAAGAGGCAACAGACCCTAACTGTCCAGATTCATATTAAGAAACCATGTAACCCAATTTTCTAACTAGTGGCAATCTGTACAATTTAATCATCAAACCAAGATCCAAAGGTATTCTGCACCTAGAAACCACATGGGATGTTTATTTGCTTAAAATTTTGTTGTTTTGTTGGAATTTTTTAACACTGAACGATCGTTTAACTGAACGATCTATTTTCATGCTCTATTAAAACTGAAAAGGCTTAAGAGTCAGGCAGCACAGATTAACTGAAAGTAATTATTAATTACTTTCACACAGATTAATTGAAATCTCTCTCTTCCTTCATGATCAGCCAAAACAGAACCTTCTTATTTAAAACAGAACAGGAACAGCTCCTCACAAAGGCGAGAATGAGCAAAAAGAGCTAAACTACCAAACTGGTAGTGTACAGCCAGATAAAGAAATCAAAATAGAACACAGATGACTGAACACAGGTTAAATCTCAAACATCAATAATGACAAAAACCAGGCTCAGGAAAGATACTGAACTTGAACCAGTTCTGGCTCTGCTGCAAAAAGCTGGGCATAAGTGCAATGCTATATGTGATCCTGGAATGTTTGTTGCTCATAATAATAAGTGACTTCTCAAAATGTTCATGCCCCCGAATTGGAAAGTAGCACCATTAAGACCTCAGTCAGTCTGGAAATACATCTGACCACAGACAGTGTTTGGCAGTGGAACGGAAAACTGTTCAGCCAGACTGGTCATGAGCTTACAACATAAAGCAAGAGTATTATTGGATCTTCTTTTACAGGTCCTCAGTTACAGAATTCTATACATAGTGCTGTCACAGAGAGGAATTATTTACTTTCTGGACCAATTCAAATATAATTTTTTCATATAATTTAAGGAGGAGTTGATTAGGCTTGGAGGGTTCATTTAGTTATACAACAAAACTATTGTGAGTTCTGCTGCTATGTAAACAACCAACTATAGGCATTGTGAATTCTACCTCTAAATAATACATTTTAACTATTTAATGACTCCTAAGCTAAGGTGAAGGATTTCACTGAAATAGAATACATAATTAATAAGTATCATATCACATCTTTATTGCAAGGAACTAATTACAAAAGCAAAATAAAAGGTTTGAGACAGACATAGAGAAATATGCCAATTCATGTACTGACAAATTTTTAAGTACGAATTGTTAAGTATCAATCTTTATTAAAAGTGTGAACTTTTTGGGTTTTTTTTCACTGCCTACTACAATGCTTCATACACATAATATTCAACAAAAGCCATCACTCTGTAAGAAGTCAAATAGAAATTAGTGCTCTGTGACTTTCACTGTCAACCATGAGATGAAATTATTTGGTGAGGAGAGGGATCTTGAAAATGGTGGGAAAAACCCCCACAACTAAACACCACCTCTTGAACAGCCTTCTGATTGTGCTCTAAAAATTTTACCTGATCATGAATGTCAACCATCACTGCATTCTGCTGTGGTGGGTGAGCAGCTGGGTGCAACATACGAGGAGATACATTCGGTGGGCGAAAGGCTCGAGGCTCTTCTATTGCTTGCTGCTGTCCATAGGAGAGATGGTGATAGTTTTCATCCTGGCTTATGGAATTATGTCTAGACAAACGATCTCTCCTTGTTCTCTGACGTCGAACAGGAGGACTGGAAATGCATTTAAAAAATCAGAGGTTATATAAATGACATAAATCCTTCTTAGTAACTAAAACCTCAAGAGAATCAAATATCAAGGAATTTTTTAAACGGGAAAATTTTACTGGAACAAATTTATTAGATTGGAATAAAAGTTTTTACTGAAGGAACTGCAAGAATCCTTATAAATTACACTTTTTTCAGGATGGAAATGCTTAACAGAGTATAACTTAATACTGTTAGGGAAATCAAGAGGAGAACTCCTATGTAAATACTACCGTGTTAAAAAAATGACTTGGATTGCCACAGTAATGCTCAAAAGTGAAGACAGGAATCTTCACAATATTCCCATGCCTTTATTCTATCTAGGTAAAAATCCTTCATTAAATGATCACAGATTTCCCCAGGGTCTTTGTTTCAACCACACCACAGAATGACTGCTTGTTAGTGACAGCAGACAAAGCAGTAGACTTCTTTGAAACAAATTAATTTTTTAGCTCTCACATGTTCACTACGTAACTGAGTGCATTATAAAATTCTCTCCAGGAGGTCCCAGGAAATTATGATTGTGGTATTGTTTCTTTTCCAGAGTGGAGAACTTCTGTAGACAGACTTAGACCACAATATATACCTGCTTGAGCAACTGATCTACAGGTGTAGGATTTGATTATGTATTCTTATATAATTGTGTGCAAGTTCTGAGTAGAGCTGCAATTACCTTGAGCCAAAACTTCTAGAAATCAGAGACCACTGGCTCAGGTTCAGCACTCAGAAAATGATGCACACAGATGTGATAAACTCACTATGAGAAGTTTTGAACAAGTCACTTCTCATTTATTTGGAAGGGGAAAGCACTGAAGCACAAAATGATCTCACAAAATGAGTACTTTTGGCACATGCCTTCCAATCTCCACAACACACACAAGTTACAGGTCCCAGAAGCAACAGCATATTAAACCTACACGGGGTGAAATGGTTTCCCATTTATGAAACAGTCTAAAGGACCTAAACTGCAGAGAAGAGACAACAACAATCTGTGATCATTACTAGAACACATAGTCTCCAACTGCATGGATCAGAACTTCCAAATACAAATCATTTGCTACTACCAAATACAAATCATATAAACCTGGAACCTTGTTGGCAAATCCCAGATACTTCTCAGGCCGAGTTCAACTTTTGTGCTGCATGAAACAGACATACTCCGGTAAAGTGTGACCACATCAGCAGCTATCCAGATGCACCTGTGACCATATGATACAATTCTCAATCCACTATTTTTCTACCCTCCCTTACAGATATTTTTGACACTATTGTCTCTCTTAAAACTGAAACAAATGGTAATTCTCAACAGGTCAGACAGAAGGCATAAGGCCAGGCAAAGAGAAACCCAAACAAATATAAAAATGCATAGCCACCTTTATTTTTATAAACTACCATTGCAGAACATACAAGCTGTGTTTTCTTCTAACCACTGAGAACCTAAATTTTAGTTCTGACTAAAGTATTTTAAATCCAGTTTTCTTTCCTGAAGTTTTTGCTGCATTTTATATTATTATTTTTATTACTAATATGATACAACTGCTACATTCTCGTTAGGTAAAATTGGCATATATAATTTCTAATCGTAGAACTAGTAACGCAGAAGATGTTCTACTGTTTGGAGTGTTCATTTGTTTTAAATTTGCTATTTCCTGCTATGAAACAGAAAAGGCCTGACTACTTTAACATAAAAATACTTGTGTGAGGATTTTTCTTTGGAAAAGCTCCAAAAATAGAGGAAAGTTACAAAAGACAGCACCAGTGCTTCAGAAGAACAGGAATTCTCTTAACTGCTGCCAGCACTTAGACAAGGTGGCTTCTTAGACAAGGCAGTTCTCATAAAACTAGTCTTGCCTCTGTCTTGGTTAACAGGCCTGGTTTTACTTTTCCATGAACCAAGAATTATGAAAAAGCCAACAAAGACTAGCAAAACTTCTGGAGTATCTTTTAAAATGAATGAACAAGTATCATTCTCTGGAAAAAAGCAAAGCTGGATTTTTTTTCTGTGCAGAATTATAAATATACTATCTTTTCAGTCAGCAAAATTCAGAACATCTGGATACATAGCTTTATTAGCTTCTGAATTATTGGAAATTACTTCAGAATAATTGTCAAGACAAGACAGGGGTCTAAACTATTATTAAACTTTAGTAATGAATTTGTGCTTGAAGTCTTTGAAAACAGCCACAAAAAAATCCTCTGTTGCTACATGCACAGTATAAATATGGTAAATGCCAGGTTAAAACAGAGACAGGATGAAAATGGTGAAAAAATTGCAGGAATTCCTACCCTCAGGTAAGAACAGCCATTAAAAGGTATCCATAACTGCAGAGTTAGTATGTGCAAATCTTAGTATTTCTAACAAAGGTGATTTCTTTGCAGTAAGACATTCTTGAATCCCTTTAGTTCAGAATTACATTCAAGACAAGGAGGAAAGGAAGCACAGATGAATGGTAAGGCACAGCAATGTGCCCCCATTTCACAATGACTGATAAAGATAAATTGGAATGGCATTCTCTGTTTCACATAGGTATGCATCACATTTTACATTCATAATTTATCTGTACTATACATAAGTATCTAGACAAAAATAATCTTTCTGCAAATTCACACCAGATGGCTATCTTTATTAATGCAGTATTTGTTTGCTTACAACGAATCAGAATAAAAAACCACAACAAATTGGGGCACTCTTGTGTTAGGCACAGTACAAAATCACTGATACCAAGAGGAAAGGTCAAAATAGTAAGGTGGGTAATGAAAAAAAAACCCAAACAAACCAGGTAATAAAAATACCAAAGACTGACTTCCTCACCAACAGGAGTCAACTGGTAGGATGAAGGAGTTAATGCTGATGATACTAAGGCAGTGATGTCCACACTAGACACACTTCAAAGGTTTTGCCTGCACTTGCCCTAGCCTGTTTCCTTGAGCTCAATGACCATTTGCAGCTGGAGTTCACCTTTCATCTTATCTTAACCTGAAAACCTGGTGAACTCTGAAACCATTCTGCAATAAGAAGAGACAACAAAGCAGGGAAAACAAAAAATAGGCTTCAAAAGCATAGGCATAACCTCACCTAAAGCATTAATAACAGGTGCACTCACAATGATATTAAGGACTCAAGCTTTTGATCTATGAGAATGGCTATTAGTTCTGGCATGACTCCAGAGCACTCTTAAGACTCAGAAAGACTCCTGGAAAACAACAAACATGTATGTATTATTTTCCCTAAAAATCCTGGTTCTAAAAGAAACTCGGTGCAATGCTGCTGTGGAACTGACAAGGAGCTAGCTCAAATGCAACACTGCACCCAAACTAAAAAATGCCATGACTCAAGTGCAGGGAAACAAAGTACTGACACATTCAGGTGTCTCTGATTAGAGCAAAAATTTGTGATATTACCCAGGAGCAGGCAAGCTGACTCTGGAAAGAGTAATGTTTGTGTTCATAAAGCTGCAGCCATCCTAACAGTTCCTGTCAGACTGAAGATGGCTTTGCAATGAGGGTCTCCCTCTTTGCAAGGGGCTTACTTGCAAAAAGCCACAGGCTACCACTTCATTAGCACTTGACTGCATCTGAACAGCAAGACACTTGTCCCATGCACATTCAGCCCTTACACATTTCCATTCTTATTCTCCATCCCACAGTATATCCAAACTGTCTAGATTCTGCTGTCTAGCGTGTAGCTAGACAGCTAGCCAGATAGTTCGTTAAGCACGCTGTTTAACTCTGCAGATGTTAATGAACACTGCAAAGAAAGTTGTGTAAGCTGATTGGACACCAAACAAAAATGACTGAATGCACAGAATCTAGGCATCTCAGTTCAAAATGTCTGAGGTCAAGATAATTTTGTCAGTCAAATGCTCCTAACAGAGCATTCTTGCACCAAACTATACGAAAGGTCTGATCTGTCTTCACAACAACCTTTTTTTTTAGGTTCACAATTTAACCTCTTTCCTAAGTCTGATAAGCTGCAATGAGAGCTGCATTTTTTACATGCCACTGACTCCATGAAGGCTTTCAAATTCATAAAGTTGAAGCAAAGATAAAAACTAGCATACTCTAAGCTCTCTTGTTTCAAAACTACTGGCTGATCATTGTTGACAAATTTGATTTGTGGAATCTGGAGAAAACTAGCTAAATAAATCTCAAGCCTAAATTTCTTATTAATGAAAAAGGACAGACACTTTTTTTTTTTTTTTTAGTACACACCAAGCTAAACATTTTTTAGAAGAAAACCGAGACTGTGTGTTTTAACTTGCATAAGATGACTCAGTATTATTGAGGCAGAATGTGAGGCAATGAAAGCTTCTGTTTTGGATAATTTGTTTAACTAGAATTTAAAACAAAAAAAACAAAAACTATGTGTGAGTTCATGTTTTGCTAGACTATCATCCATCCACTTCCAACTTCTCTCTTCCATGACCATTGGAACTTATTCAACAATCTCTGCTTTGAGAAGTTAATGAGCCACAAGCTAAAACCAACATGAAAATCTAGTTACTACTACATGTGAATCACCTACCTCAGCAAACTTTGACACTACGCTAACCTTCTCATCTCCCCAGCTGGTGTCTCTCATCTTTATTTTGATTGGTTTTAAGTACAAAAATAATTGTGACTGTAATGAAAACGATGGTATTACATGAGTAACTCTTAACACCTTAAAAAGTACCCTGATGAGAAAGATTTTTCCTTGCACTTTTCTACATGCTTTTTACCTCAGTGCAGAGTAATAGAGAATTACGTTCATAATAAAACATGTTTGGAGCACTCGTTTCCTCAAGCTGACTTTTCACATAAATTACAAGACGTTGCACAAGACTGAAATACTCCCAGTAGCCTTTTAGTCACAGCTGCATTATCTTACAGCTCAAAGGAAATGTTAACATGTTTACCATGCATAATCTAGTCAGTGCTACCCAAAACACACCTCCTTGAGCTAAAATCAGGAAGAAAAAGAAGTTGTTTCCCAAGCTACACAGCTTGCTTACCTCCTCCTGTTTCGTGCAGGTGTGTTGCATCGTTCCCCTGAGAAGTGGTGTTGGTTGGGTCGAGCCAAAGGAGGCTGCCTATTTGATGTCATCTCCCATGGTCGCATTGGTGGTGATGGGGCTGGTGATGCTGTTGTATAGTCAAAGACAGAATGGGAAAGGCGTTGTCGCTTGGGACTAGGACTGTCTTCGCTCTACACCGGTGCAAAGAAAACAAAAACAAAACAAAACCAACTTCCAGATGAGTGAATTGCAATCCATACTCCAGTATTGCTTTGCACCTAGCATTAAGAGTGACTCATTGATGACTGAAGACACTATGAAATGTAGCACCTGCAAGTATTCACTTTTATATTCTGTTTATAAACACAGATTTTTTTTATGATTCCCTAGCCCCTAGAAAAATTACTACTTAAATTATATTTTAGCAGCACTAAAATATTAAATCCCAACATCTATGCAAAATCAAAACTCTATCAGAAAAGAGTAACATGAAGAAAATAAGGCATTACCTATTTTACATTCCTCCTGCCATAGCACTTACAGGCTACAGAAGCGTGGGAAGACGTATAAACACAGTCTTCACAGCAATGGAACCAGTACTAGTCAGTAAGCAGCTGGTACACAGAGCTTGCTCTCAGCATTGAACCTCCTTCCTATCAGGTCTGCACCTAGCTAATCAGACATTTGCTCTGTATTGCAGCCAATTTTAATTCTGCTAACTCAACACAGAGGTGCTTCATCCTTCTAGTTATTCATGTAATGATAACCATTCATACACATAACCTGAAAAAAAAATCATCAATCCCCAGTTAAAACTTAAACTTCATTAAAAGTCCACAAGGCCTACATAGTGCCTGAAATTTCCAGTGCTAATGATGTGAAGGTCATTCACCTCCAAGCAATGTTTTCCCAGCTGGCCATGAACACAACTTTCACTGCATGTCCATGCTATCGAATAGAGCTGTCATTCTTCTTCAGAATGAATTCCTGATAAGAATGCCTATGAAGCCAGCAGAAAATACAATAAAACATCCCTCTCCTCCACCCCACTATTCTGCCAAAATTAAAACACATCATTCTGTTAATAGACACGACAACTGAAAATACAGAAAACTACACATCATACTTCAGAGATCAGCAACTGAACAAAAAACTAAAACCACATGAACTACCACTGGAACTATCCTTGAGTCCAAGCATCACATGAACTTCTCTGACAGAATTCCTAGTGCAAGCAAACTTGTAGTATTTAGTTGCCCTTCAGCTTGTTCAGTCACTCCACCACTTCCGTTTCAGTCCACCACCACACTATTTCAATTACATTTGCATGTAATTGTAGATAGCTGAAGCAGAGAAAACAACTTGTCTGCAACAGCTTTGTGTTCCAGAACTGTCCCCTCCCCCTAGAGTGTTAGAGGTCTCACTTCAGACTTAACTGTAGACTGGACTCTGGACCTCTCCTGGCTCTTAGCTTTACAGGGGCATTTTATTTTCTGAACTGTATTTAGTTGCTTCTTGGTAGGTTTCCATCAACATATAGTTTGTACTCCAGCATTCTTTGCAGCGCAAGGACACACCTTTTAAGAATGGAAAGTTTTGTCCAGATGTTCAAGAGACAAAAGGTATTTTTCCTCTCTTTGACTTGAGGCCATTTTTTACAAAATTTTAGACCTTTTCAGTCTCTTATCCTCAAATACTTTAACACAGGTTGTAGTTTTCCCCTACTGTATCTTATCTAAAATAGTCAGCTTCCTTAGAGAACCAGCCCGATAATGCATGCATCTGCTTGTTGCTCAATCTCTTTTGAACTCCTTAACGAACCGCACTTTAATTTTTTAGATAGAAATAGGTCAAAAGGCAGGTATACACCTGATGGTTTATGACAGTAGATGTCCAGGTAAAGGCTGACAGAAGGTTGCTAGTCCTAAGAAGCTCAACACCAAAAAAAAAAACAAAACAAAACAAAACAAAACAAAACAAAACAAAAAAAAAAACAAAAAAAACACCAAAAACACTGGAACACTGGAAGAGATACCCAGTAAGTGTCTTGAGAGCACAGCTTCTCTCAAGTATTTTATCAGATTTTAGAGAACATTGCCAAAGGACAAATCTTAAAGGAACTATGCTACAAGAGTGAAAGAAAGATGATTTGTGGCCTAACTTTTTACACCATGATGACTAAGCCTATTCAAAGAGGAAGACAGGTAATAAAAGTGCTGGTAAATTAGGTATGCTGGGATTTTGTAAGCACAAAAGAAAATGTAAAATTGAGGAAGAAAAAAAGTGAATTTAGTGAAGCTGGCAGAAAACAAAACCTTGAAAGAACACAATAACCATTCCTGTCCTAATACAATCTATACGTGCCTTTTGCTGGGGATCTCCCACTGCAACTGCCCTAATTTAAATGGGACACCCTTCCCAAGCATTAACACTAATATACCCTGTCCCATAGAAAGCAGTCTACTTTGCAAAAACAGCTCTTCTATGATTTTTTTTCCTGTTGCATCAGGAGTGCACCACTTCAAAGACTGTGGAGATGTAAACTGCTAAGTAGTTTGCCTTCATCACACTCCAGATTACTAACCCTCACAGGTAATTCCACCTCTGTAAGTGCTAACTGCCCTCTGCAGTAAGCAACAGTAATTTTACTCAAAATTGTTTCCCATTAAAAAGAAAATAAAGGTAAAACAATGTCTTGGAACTACATGAACAGAGATTTAAAATGTAATTGTGTCTTTTTCTGTACTGAAAAATAAGTAGCCTAAAGCTAAGTTCAACTTATTTGCAAACAGACTCTATAAAAACCCCAATACAAACCTTGGTGTTTTGTCTTAGTTTTCATTAAGAAACCATTTCTCATTTAGTAAATTGTATCAAGATAATACTAGCATGCAGGAAAGTACAAAGAGCTAATAAGAGACACATATCCTGTATAATTTTGTTTTCAGGTTATTTTCAATCAGCATGTGGAGTAACTACATACTGACAGTATTTTAGACAGTTTTTTCAGTCTACATTATTATTATTGGTCATTAACTTCAGTTAGTTTATTTGTGGAACACATGATACTTTCCACAATGAGAAAAAGTCTCCAAATCCCAAATGGCTCTTATCATTTCTTGTTAGTACTCAAAATATTTTCTGGGACTACTGCTAATTTTTCCAGTCATGTTCTATGTATTTTTCTAATGTCCAACACACAACAAGAACAGACTGAATGGCAGTTATCAAGAACACTCCACTTAGCTTTTAAGTAAAAAGATAAACTCACTGCCCTTCTTTCGAATACACTGAACCAAAATAGTATTATGAACAGGAATACAGACTACTTCATATTTAAAGAAAGCATTATCAGGACAAAGTCATCAGACTGTAACTAGTAAAAGAAGCCGCACATGTCAGGCCACTAAAACCTATAATCTCATCCCAAAAAGTCAGCATTTCACTGACATTCCCAAAAGTTATCATTTCACTGACATACATAGTATAGTTGTGTCATTCTCCTCTGTGCACCCCATAAACTCTCATTACTGTAATGGTATAAAGGTGAATACAGAGTTTGCCTGTTTGTAAAACACCATTTAGAAGTGTTTGCTCTATTTCTGTGTATGTTTCCTGCAGTAATGTTTTATCTGAAAGTTTTTCCATTTTATTTGGGAAAAACAAGGTATTTTCACCAAGACAAAACCGTTTGAGGTGTTTTTGCCACTGTCCTTTTCCAGTAAAATTATAAATACTGCAGCCACACACTGATTATTAACCATCACAGAAGGAAATTATAACCAAAGCAATTACTGCAAATATCTGGAAATAATTTTCTTCTTCAGCTCCCTATATATTTCTACTTAATGGTCCTGCAAAACCCAAGAAACTACTCCACACCCTCCACCTCAAATTCAGAGAATAAACTACATCTATCCTGTAGCCCACAAAAGGCCTGTATTTTAAAAGCAAACTAATACTTCAGGAGTATTCTCGTGCATAGCCCATAGAAGGTTTTACATAAAGACAATCTGATGGGCATACTGTATAAAACCCTACCACAGGCTGACCAGAAATCATCAGCTGCATGTTTCCTCTTCATGACTGCATATTGAAAAGGAAATTATTTTTCCCCATGATACTGAAGACTTAAGTTTGAGCTTTAATATTTTTCAGATTCCATGTTGCCTAGGTGTGTAGTTCTGAGCTTCATATTAAGTGTTGGTATGCTCTCTTCACAGAGTAGGTAGACAAAACAATTCCTTTTCTAGCTTGGGACCAAGAACAACTGTTAACAAGTTTCAGGCCCAAGAGCATAAACAATGGTGAACTGAAGAGAGAAAACAAGAAGAATGGGACTTCATAATCCGAAGTTGTAATTGGAAAATTAACCCCAATATGCAAATTGTGGAAATTAACCCCAATATGCAAATTAAGGAAATGTGTGACCTCGTAACCGGTCATCCGTTTGGTGACCATTCTGGGTTCATCTTGGGTGTAGCCCTGGCCAGGCTCTTACACTGCCCAAGGTGTGTATCCCTTAAGGCCTTTTAATATATACCTGCTTTATTTTTTAACTCTGTCTAGTTTCTGTTCTAGGTCAGCATTCTCAAGGCATCAATACAGGCTGCTAAACATCAACATTTATAAGCATTTTCAAATTTAACTACAGGCATCTAGTAAGCTGAGTATTCTGCATATCTTATCTGCTCTAACAATTCTAACAACTGTAATTTGAATTACATTTCAGCATTTTTGTTAGTCTGATTGTACCAACAATAACAGTAAGTTCTTGGGCTGAACAAACAGCTACATCTAAATGCAGTAGCTTGTTCATAATCCAAGACCAAACTAATTTTAAGTACATTTTTTGGCCAAGGTCAAGTAAGCTCTGTGCCCCACAACCCTAAAACCAAGGCAAGGGAAATCACTTATGTGACAGATGGAGCCATTTCAGGCCAGATGGCTTTGAAGTATTACTGTCTTCTTCCATCTCTCCCACAGAAAGCAGCTGCAGAAGTTTAACTTCTGTGTGGCATTACAATGCAGAATTTACAAGCTCACACAACTCCCCTGTAGCTGGCACTATAGATACAAATTCTGTGGGAAACCACGAAATAATTCAGACAGCTACAGCCCCTCCAGCTCCTGCCACCAAGAGCCTCACTCACTTCTACCACTGGCACTGCAAACCTGGTTGTTGCCAACA